AGCCGGTCGTCTCCGGTGCAGATTCGAAAGCCATCCCTCATTGAATCCTATGGACCATGGGATGCAGTCAGTTCTCAGCCATGGACGGCCAAGTTGAGAACAAGGGTAAGTCGCCGGTTTTCTTCAGTGTCAGAATAGAAGAGAAAACATACTATTTCTTACTTTCTCTTCTCTTACTGCTGACGGCGGCGAACTACCATTGTCGAGTCCTTTTCGGTCGCTCGGACAACAAGAGGAGAGGCTTCGATCGATCGCTACAAACAAGAGGATGCTCTGTTAACTCCAGCCCTATCACCAGCCTGAACATCGTCGAGTCATTGAATGGCAACAGTCGTCAACCGGAGGAGGAGGCTATACGACACACGACAACACACAAGACAGTGGATCCTCCTACTGGATTCATCCCTTCTTATTATCTCCTACTGTTTTGGTGGTGATTTCTGTGCCGGTACCCATTTTCTTGTATGTGCAAGTCAAGTACTGTTGCCACTAGCTATACGGCAGCTGGCTACAATGGCTGGATTGACAATATTCGCTTGTGCTTGTATTCGTCATAAAGGATCCAATCGAGGTACCGGTAACCGTAGAGCAAAGCCGAACTTTCGGTACTGTTGCCATTGTCGTCGATGTAGCTATACCGCAGCCGGCTACAATGGCTGGATTCATATGTTGGTTTGCATGTATCGTCATAAGGATCCAAACTGAGGCAAGGGATACAGGAGACGAGCGCTGAAAAAAACCGAATCCTAGCTAGGATGGTGCAAACCAGCTAAAGCAATTTACATCCATCCTAGTAGGGGCATCTGCTTCTACCAGGAAAAACTCTAAAGCCAGCGAAAGCTATATAACTAGTATTCTAGCTAGCTATTGTACTGTTGCACTGTCACCATCGATGAACTCTACGATGGCTGGCTACGATGGCTGGATTGACAATGTTCGGTTGTGCATGTATTCGTCATAAGGATCCAATGCGAGTACCGGTAACCGTAGCGAGCAAAGCGGAACCTGAGTGTGTTCGGTACTGTTGCCATTGTCGTCGATGTAGCTATACCGCAGCCGGCTACACTGGCTGGATTCATAATGTTCGGTTGTGCATGTACTCGTCCTAAGGATCCAATGCAAGATACCAGCAACGGAGTGTAGCCAGCAAAGCGGAACCTGAGTGTGTTCGGTACTGTTGACACTGTCGCCGATGTAACTGTACGGTAGCCTGCTACAATGGCTGGATAAACAATATTCGGTTTTGTGCATGTATTCATCATAAGAATCCAATGCGAGGTAACTGAGTGTAGCGAGCAAAGCCGAACCTGAGTGTGTTCGGTACTGTTGCCACTGTCACCGATCGATGAACTCTACGGTAGCTGGCTACGATGGCTGGATTGACAATGTTCGGTTGTGCATGTATTCGTCATAAGGATCCAATGCGAGGTACCGGTAACCGTAGCGAGCAAAGCCGAACTTTCGGTACTGTTGCCATTGTTGTCGATGTAGCTATACCGCAGCCGGCTACAATGGCTGGATTCATAATGTTTGGTTGTGCATGTATTCGTCATAAGGATCCAAACTGAGGCAAGGGATACAGGAGACGAGCGCTGAAAAAACCCGAATCCTAGCTAGGATGGTGCAAACCAGCTAAAGCAATTTACATCCATCCTAGTAGGGGGATCTGCTTCTACCAGGAAAAACTCTAAAGCCAGCGAAAGCTATACAACTAGTATTCTAGCTAGCTAGGGGTGTCTGCTTCTAGCTTGCTATGGGAATCTGCTTCTAGCTAGGGGGGATTTGCTTCTAGCTACCTAAGCACAAGTTAAGCACTAGCTAAGCACTAGAAGTGTCTGCTTCTAGTTAGCTAGCTATAGGGGTATCTGCTTCTACACTGAAACCTTTCTGCCGAGGTTACACAGCTCCGCTGGCTTAATATAATTTCTGGAGAAGGGTGATAATCGATCTCATTTTATTCTTGCTCTGGCAATCTGCTGCGAAGTTGTGGAGGCCCAACTCGATCCCTTTTAAATGAAGTATAAATCGGAATTTGGTGTAAATTGCCATTTCGGGCCCTTTCAATGTCACCAACTCTCGATTTGCTTTTTACGTGCAAGTTTCTTCCTCGTTATTCGAATTTTCTTGAATCGAATGATTCAATCATCAATCCTCGGAGCCAACTACTATCATACATGTAGCTAGAGCTGGCTACCGTATGGGGGTTTAGAGTAGGGAAATTATCTAAGGAAGCCAGCTGGGGCCAGGCTAGCTATGGTAGAAAAGACTACTACATGCTTTGTACGGTAGCTCCAGTATGTACCGGTACCGGTACCGTACCGGTATCTGTTCCATCCATGCCCCCTTCGGCCCCTCCTTCGGCACCTACGGGATGACATCCGGGAAATCCTCCCCAACGAAACCCTGGTAAGTCTCGACAATTTCCCCTCTTCCCAATCCCTTTCACTGCTGAGGCTGGAGTATCATCCCAATACAATGTGACGACCAACAACATTGTGCCCATGCAGCCATGTGGCACAAGGAACAACTCTTTGCCATGGCCGCTCTCTTTCATGCTTTGGACGGACCGAACTGGCCGCCCCTTGACGGTTGGCTCAACTAACTATTAGATCACGTCCGAATGTTTGTGGTTCTCCACCGTGGTCTCGTTTCCAATGTGATTGCCTCGGTGGGGGAGCGGGCATGATTCAGGGATTTGGCGAATGTGGTTCTCCACCGTGGCCAGGACCTTTGTCATGCAATGGCGTGTGATTTCCACTGATGGTAACATGTATTATAACCGATGTGATTCCCTCGGGCGTCGGACCAGGCATGATTATCATTCAGGGATTTGCAATGGCGACGAACATGCAGCCCACACAAGCAATGGCGACGGCCACGTTACCGCCATTTCCCTTCGATTCCTCCACATTCGCACGTGGCATTGCCTCTGGAACTTGGACGACTCTTGTCATCCTTATTGGCATACTTGAATCTCATCTCTTGAAATGCAGCATCCACATTTTCATGTCGCCTGCATCAAGTTGAGTTGCGGGGTGACCCGGAATGGTCGGTCTGACAGGGCCCTTTCCAGTTTCCATGGCTGCTGGTCTCGCCAATCTGGTGGATATCTTGCTGGAGGGCAATGCACTCACGGGCAGGCCGAATTCGAGTTCGCAATCCTACCGCACTAGCTAGGACACTGGAACAGCATTATTTGCTTCCTCACAACTCACAAAGTTAGTTGATCAAACATGGGGGCTGCATGGCTGGATACTACTAGACAAACGTGTTCCAAATCCAAAGAAAGTCAAGGAAAGCCCGTTTCATGAAGAGTTCACCTGCCTGGGAAGCTCACCTGGGACGTTCACCAAGAGCGGTTCAGTACCGTACGGGTGGCCCTTTTATGAACCTGAACATGAACATAGTCTAGTTGGTTGAACTGCTGCTATTTTTTGTCTAGTAGGGAACTGTTATGAATACCTGGCTTCTATTTGGAAGAGTAAACCATGACCGTACGAGCACCATGCTTGACACTTGACAGTGGTGGTAAACATAGATAGCACAATGATTCTTGGGCCAAAGTTGGGTTGCTACCAGCGAGCTAGTAAATCCAATTCACTTGGGATCTGCCTCCACCTGACTGGAACAAATAAATCCGCAGTCGGGCACAATCCCGAAAGAAGTTTCTAGCTAGATAGCTATCATGTCTTTCTTTTGTTGAATGAAGCAAACAACTTGACAGGTGCCTGCTTGACAAGCAATCCGTGGTTCCAAGCACCACAAAGTTAACCACACATTGGCTGGGGCAGTCATAACCACACCCCTGTTGCAAAGCCAAAGAAGTTCAATGAAAGAACGAAAGCCCTCACCAGGAATCGAATCGAATCGAATCGAATCCGTGTGTACCACTGGAGAGAACCCCATACTATGGCTTTACTACTTACTATTAATACATACATTCCAGTATGTTCACGCAAGCACGAAAGGCTGCTATTTTATTTAGAAACCACGAATGTGAACTGGCTTATTGAACCCAGTTCAACGAAGATTTAAAAGCCAGTGATCCTAGGAATTACAAGCCAGTAATCCTTTCTGAGCGGCGTGTGGAAGAAGGCTATTTATTTTGAGAATTTTGATAATGGTGAATGGTGGTCGAGAAAGTGGTCAAGGCGTTTCGATTCGGAGCATAGGAGAGGGGGAAAGGGAAAGAAAAAGCTCTGAAAATCAGCGTTCATTTGAGCCTGTTATTCTACCCTACCCCAACCCCCCGGTTGGATCGACAACGTTTCCTTTACTTTGTTACTAAGTCTTTGTCCTTTTGTGCGCAAGAATGCTTCGATGATGGTTCTTCACAGTTCTCAGTTCACAGGAAGTTCCAGCAATTGGCGGTACAGCTGACCATTGAATTAATACTGGAGAGCCATGCTGCGTACCGGTACAGCTGTGCCTACAGTACTCTTGAGTCGAGAATTGTCGAGTACTAAGTAGCTTTTGCCGGTAAATAGTTTAGTCACTAGCTACAATTTCAGTCAGCCATTAATACAGCTTATTAGCCCAGTTAAATCCAATACTGCAGTAGTTGCTGGACATTCTGAATACTAGTATTCCACCTCCATGGTTTGGCCTTTTGCTCTTCCGCACCACGCCCACAACCTCCGAAGTACAAAAAAGAGCCAAAACAGACAACAGCGACCTCAGTGACCAGCACTATCACACGCTGTTACCATAGCAGCAGCAGCACGATACAATGTCAGAAGAAACAGCAGTACATGTATGTATGTAAATGGCTCAGATTGAATTCGCAATTATTATTAAACTCAGCAAGAATGCCCCTCGATCGAATTCCGTCGATGGCGACCACCAAAGACGCAAGGTACCGCGCCAAACAGGATGTTGCAGAACAAAACGAAGATCAGACCCTAGTGGAAATTCTCACAAAACGAGACCAGTTGGAAACCGTTCAGTGTACGTATTATCAGACCGAGGAAATGAGTAATACTTCCGCTGATAGTGATAGTAGTAGTAGTAGCGGACAAGCCCTGGGCTTGGTGGAAACCGGTAGTAGTACTTGTACAGATCAGCCAAGAGAAACGGTAATGCAGACTGCCCAGAGAAATAATAATGCTCAAGAGGAGTTGCTGATCCAAGCACTGGAAAATGAGCAGCAGTATGAGGATACCCCTTCCGACGAAGGATGTCCACCGGTGCCCACAGAGGTTTCCCACGGGCTTCGGCAGCCCAGTGGTGATACAGATGTGGAGACGTGTGTTTCTTCAGTAACAGATGGGCTGCAGGATGCCGATCTGTTTGTGGATCACATGTACCCAACTCTGAACACGGTTGTGGAAGAAGAGGAATCACATTCCAATTTGGCCCTCAAGTCACTCAACGACAACTCAAACCGTTCTCGTGCCTCATCAACTACTACGACTGGGGAGACACAACAGCAGCAGGCCTCCCAAAACCAGCAGCACTATGAAATGTCCCTAAACAAAACAGAGTCCAAGGAAGAATTGCAAAGGAACGAGGCAGCTGTGCCCAAGGCTGCCAAGATGGATAAGCGTGATCAGGCTTCTCCAGCTGCCATTATTGTTGGCATTGGGAGTAGAACGACATCGGCCCTTCTGGTAGACAAATCTGACAACCAACAGGACGATCAGAAGGACCTTCAAGGCAAACCAGAGGCTTTGCGACCCAAAGAAAACGCTTCCGGTACCATCAACCCTCAGGAACCAGCTCCTGACCCTCAGCAGCCAGTATCGACGCCAGGAGCCCACAGCATTGATGGCCCCGGCAGCAACAGTGCCATTGACACTACGGATGGCCGGATTCTCCAAGTTCCTCCATCTACAACTGCTCCAATGGACAATACTGAGATTATTGATCGCCAATTGGTCAGGGCCAATCCAGTACAAGAAGATCTGGAGGCTCCCCCAGACTTGATGCAGGCTTACCCTGTCAATCTGGACGAACAGGAACGACAGCAGCAAAAGCGCAAGAAGCAAACGCAAACATTCATCTTCATTCTGCTACTAGTGATTCTGGCTGGAGCAGCCATTGTGGGAACGGTTGCTGGTACACACAAAAAGAAGCCAGATGAACCCATTCGTGCTGCAACTCCTACGCCTACTGTTTACCTTTCCATGGAACCATCAGAAGTACCATCCTCGGCTCCCACTGGAGCTCTGGACATGCTGTTGGATAGTCTACCTGACTACACCTTGGCAAGCATGAACAATGGCAGCGACACCCCTCAATGGAAAGCATGGCAATGGCTGACCAACCATCAAAACATTACATTTCTTCCAGAATGGAGAAAGACACAGCTCTTTGCAATGGCAACATTCTTCTTTTCCTTTGAGGGAGAAAATTGGACTCCTCTAGTACAAGAGCGATGGATGGATGAGACCAAGGATGAGTGTGACTGGTTCTCCAGTGGATTTGGAATGTTTGTTGGAGGGCACTTTGTGCCATTGGAAAATTTGGGTGTTCCGGCTACTGCGTCCTGCAATATACACGGGAGACTGACGAGTCTTGACCTAATACAGCTTGAGCTCACTGGATTTTCACCAAGCATGCCTCCTGAGATCATGCTGCTCACTTCCTTGTCCAGAATTGCCCTCAGAGATAATGGTGACATTGATTCACCATTGAATGACTTTTTGATTCCTCAGATGGCACAACTGTCACAGTTGAAGGAGTTGATCTTGTTCAGGAATGGCTTGACAGGTACCCTGCCAACTGAGCTTGGTTTGATGACCAATTTGACCGATGTTTCAGTGCTGGCTAATGCTGTCACTGGGACCATCCCAACTGAGCTGGGGCGGCTTACTCTCTTGACAAGCTTGCACCTAGCGTCAAACTCACTTGAGGGCACGCTTCCCAGTGAACTTTGGTTGCTTACATCGCTTGAGTCTTTGGTTGCAGGGCATTATCCTGTTGGGAATGCAGTTGGAAACTATTTGACAGGACAGTTGCCAAGTGAGATTGGAACAATGACTTCACTAAGACAGCTGAGCTTTTCACGAAATCTGTTTACGGGTGAAATACCCAGTGAATATGGGCTGCTGATATCCCTCCAATCGATGTTCTTGTTTGATAACTTTCTTTCTGGTGGTTTGCCCAGTGAGGTTGGAATGATGACCTTGCTAAAATATTTAATGGTTCAAGGCAACATGCTATCGGGACTGTTTCCAAATGAACTGCAAGAGCTGGCAGCACTTCAATGGCTCACTCTTGAGAACAACAACCTCTCTGGCAGCCTTCCTTCAGAGCTGGGATTGCTGACTGGACTTCTGAATTTGAAGCTTGGAGGCAACAGTTTCTCCGGTAGCATTCATTCAGAGCTGGGCCAGCTAATGTCACTGCAAGAGCTGGACTTATCAGATCTGACCCTCCTGACTGGACCGATTGCTTCTGAATTATCTTCCCTCCCAAGCCTGGGATGGTTGAATCTTTCGGGCAGCGTTGGGGTGACTGGTACTGTGCCTGATGAGCTTTGCTTTTTTCAAAACTCCTCTTGTGCCTACGTTTGGAGCACCAAGCCTTGCTTTCTTGCTTTTGATTGCACAGACCAACTTTGTGGATGTGATTGTTTGTGCTCCAATGAGACATCCAATAGGAATTCTTAGTGTTCTAAGCCCTTGTTTAGAGCTTCTGTTGTTTAGTTTGCCCCTTTAGCGGCTGCTACACAGGAATTCTTGTTTTTGCTTGGAGATTTTTACCAAGCCCAGCTGGTACCTGGTAGAGTCCTGTTCTGAACTCTGGGCTAAGCCAGCTAGAAAATCCCATGTTTGTAGCCCAACTGATGCTGGATCCCTCGACAAAGCCGCTCAAGAGGTAAGGATCACCCCACGATGATGACGACCTTGGCATGTACGTACCAAACAGCTTTTCTATAGAGACAGTTATCATTAGAAATATGTTAAAGTTTCATCAGAGCGCAGCAGAACAAACAACATCTTGGTTCCGTTAGACACGAAGCCGAAAAGTTGGCACTTCGTCCAGCCAAAAGGCCGGTCGCATTTTCAGCCGGCAAGAGACTGCCACCTTTGGAAATACTAGAGTGCCGTCGTTTGCATGAACTGACTCACCTTCGCGACGCATCTTGTCTCTAATTCTCGGAGAGCCCTTCTCTCCTGCCGGTCATTGCAATACTTGAGTAGCTCAAACTGCAGGGGCTCGAGCGCATGAAACCCGACATAGTTCTTGCTCGATCAATATATACGGTGGTCAGGTGCAAGGCCAACTTAGCATTTTGGAGGAGCTGCAACAACTCAATCTAAGGGAGCTCTGGTAAGCGCAAACATGTATTTACTGTGAACCAATAGAGTTTTAGGTGAGGTGTTGTCCGGATGTTCGTTTGGATTCATTACTTTCTGTTTCTATTATCGAAAAGATATCATGATATCGCCCGTCGAGGAATAAGAACTCATCAAGCAATTCACACACACAAGCTCCGCACTAGGATGAGGCGCTGCTGAGGCGATTGGAGCAGGAAGTCCCAAAGCAAGACAATGGCATTGAGCTTGTTTATTGCGCTGAAGCCAATGATGGCGTCAACATGCATTGAACCGGTTCAGGTGTGTGTCAATAGCGCATAACGGGGGTTTAGAGTATTTGGAGTATCTACAATCTACAGAAGCCTGCTTTGCAGTTGTGCTGCTGCCAAAATCCCCCAGAAAGATTTATTTTGAGGTGAAAGGGTGTGGTCCCAGAAGCTGTAAAAAGCCAAATCCGTTATGATTTAAGTCACTGTTGAAGGAGAACGAGCTATTGGTTGAACTCTCAGTCGCAGGTTCTCCCCTCGCTTCATCTTCGGATTGCTTTTGGAGGGCCCTTCGAATCGAATCAAATCAAATCATCAACCATGCCACAGCGCAACCTTTAGCTATCTCTAAGGTTCATGGTGTTGGGCTGCTGCTATCGGTACCCTGCTGTCTATCACAAGAACCTTGATGTGCTTGATACCACCCTGGATTCAGCTATGACACCCGGATACCCAGTAGCGGAAGGAGAAACGGTGAGTTTCTGTGACAGCTAGCCAAGAGGAGCAAGTTGTCATGCATACCGTTACCAGTTTTGTGTCCACCCTGAAAGTGTTGTTCCAGGCGCGAATCTAGTTCCAAGTGAGATGTGTTACGACAGGAAAGATGGAAGCTGATTGCGTTTGTGCAACTGGCTGTAGAGATAACTAGCCGCAGCTACAGATTGCTGCTTCTTCTATTGATCATGGATGTCGTCGTGGTTAACCTTCCCTCTCCTTAACGAATCTCCGGAAAGTTGAGTTACCCTGGCTAGCTGGCTCTCTGGTGTCGCATTCGTCTCTTTGTCTCCAGGGCTGAAAAGTATCCAATTTGCGAGCATGAAGCAAAGTCAGGAGGTCTTATGCAATGTCCAGTGACCATTCAATTCATTGGCACTGGACTTGGCAACCATGCAGGACTCTGGCATGGAGGCTTGTCTCTGTCAAACACAGTAGTTTGGCACTATGATCACTTTTTTTGAACGGAAGTGTGCATGCATGCAGGGCGGGGTGAACGAAATTGCCGGCTTACCGGACACACTGGGTTCTGAAGACTTCGCTGGTAGCTAGCGTTTTCTGACATTGACTATGCATAGGTCATGCTTGTTCGTACATGTAGCGACGTTGACTATGAGAAAACTGCCTTCGATGGTACCAGAGAATGGGTATTGGGTTGCCGTGGTCGTGCAGCCATGGTTGCGGCAAAATTCACAATAGGTAGCACAATTGATCATGCTGATGCTCCCCTACGCAACAACGTGGTCATCAGCTCAAAAAAAGGCACCGCGGTCCTACACAGATAACCTTCGGCCTCATTCTTGCCGGTGTTTTTTGCTCTTTTGCGACGCCTGCATGGACAAGTCATTCTTGCCATGGCTCTTCCGATAATGCAGTGGCTGCCCTCCCTCAGTGATACTAGCTAACCAGTTCGATCCAACAGACACAACCATGGCAACTCCACAGCCAATGCAAGATGATTCACTGATCAGGGCTCTGGAAAATGAGCAACAGTATGAGGATACGGGTTCCGACGAAGGCCTTCCACCGGTACCCACAGAAGTTTCCCACGGGCATCGGCAGCCCGGCCAAGATACAGATGTGGAGACGTGTGTTTCTTCGGTAACGGATGTGCTGCAGAATGCCGATCTGTTTGTAGATCACATGTACCCAACTCTGAATGCGGTTGTAGAAGAAGAGGAATCACATTCCAATTTGGTGCTCAAGTCACTGAACAAGAACCTGGCTCCTACCATATCGACTACTACAACAGAGGAGACACAACGGCAGCAGACCTCCCAAAACCAGCAGCACGAGTCATCGGGAGACATGCTTAAGTCACTCAACGAAAACTCAAACCATGCTCCAACCATCTCTAGTTTCGGAACTGCAACCGGGGACACACAAGGGCAAAAGACCTTAACATTCCAAAACGGGCAGCACGATTCATCTGGAGACAAATCCCTAAACCAGTCAGCGGCCAAGGAAGAATTACAAAGTAACGAGGCAGCTGTGCTCAAGGCTGCCAAAATGGACAAGGATGATCAGGCTTCTTCAGCTGCCAGTATTGCTGGAATTGGGAGTAAGAAGCCGTCGGCCGTAAACATATCTGACCAGCAGCAGGAGGTTCAGAAGGGTCAGAAGGATCAGAAGGACCTTCCTCCCAAACAAGGCAAACCAGAAGCCAATTTGCAATCCAAAGAAACCGCTACTAATAGCATCAATCCCACAAGTGCTGTTGGTGTCGTCGAATCAAGTGGATCGGATGTGCAAGCAGAAATGCAGGCACCCCAACAACAGCCAGCTCTTATCCGTATCCATCGACACCCAGTATCATTCCCAGGAGCCTACAGCATTGATGGCATTGGTACCAGCAGTGGTATTGGCGCTTCCAATGATGATGGCAGGATTGTCCCAGTTCCTCCATCTACGGGTAGAGCGGAACTGAGCAATCGTGAGACTATTCCTGATGGTTTGGTCCGGGCCAATCCAGTAGAAGAAGATCCAGAGGCTCGTGCTGATTTGATGCATGCCAACCCGGTCAATCTCGAGGAACAGGAACGACAACAGCAAAAGCGCAAGAAGCAAACGAAAACATTTGTTTTTATTCTGATCCTAGTTATTCTGGCTGGAGCGGCCATTGTGGGCGCGGTTGCTGGCACACACAAAAAGAATCCAGATGAAACCATTCGTGCTGCAACTCCTACGCCTACTGTATACCTTTCCGTGGAACCATCGGAAGTGCCATCCTCTGCCCCCACAGGGGTTCTAGACTTGCTGTTGGATAGTCTCCCAGACTATACTTTGGCCAGCATCAACAATGGCAGTGACACCCCTCAGTGGCAAGCATGGCAATGGCTAGCCAATCATCAAAATATTACATTTCTTCCAGAATGGAGGAAGACACAGCTGTTTGCCATGGCAACTTTCTTCTATGCATTTGAGGGTGAAAATTGGAATCCTCTGATAAATGAGCGCTGGATGGATGACACCTTGGATGAATGTTTGTGGTACTCTGGTGGATTTGGAATCTTTTTTGAAGGTCGCTATTTTCGACGTCAGGATTTGGGCATTCCGTCTATTGACCCCTGCAATGATCATGGAAAGTTGACGAGCCTCGATTTGTTGAATCTCGAGCTCACTGGATTTTCACCAACCATACCCCCAGAGATCACTCTGCTCACTTTCTTGTCCAGAATTGTCCTAAGAGTCAATGGCAACTTGGATTCATCATTGAATGACTTTTTGATTCCTCGGATGACACAGCTGAGATATTTGGCATATATGGATTTGAGTCTGAATGGCTTGGTGGGTACCCTGCCAACTGAGTTTGGTTTGATTAACCAGTTGACTGAATTTTCAGCGTCAGCAAATGCCATCACTGGGACCATCCCAAGTGAGCTTGGGCAACTTACTCTCATGAGAAGCCTGCAACTATCAGCAAACTCTCTTGTTGGCACTCTTCCCAGTGAACTTTGGTTGCTTACTTCTCTTGAAAATTTGAACCTTGGGTCTAATGCAGCTGGCAACTATTTGACAGGCCGTTTGCCAAGTGAGATTGGATCACTAAATTCACTACAACAGCTGAGCCTGTCGAAGAATCTGTTTACGGGTGAAATACCCAGTGAATATGGACTGCTGACGTCCCTCGAATCGATCCTATTGTTTGACAACTTCCTTTCTGGTGGCTTGCCCAGTGAGGTTGGAACGATGGCCATGCTCAGACATGTCTTGATTCAAGGCAACATGCTATCAGGACTGCTTCCAAATGAGCTGCAAGAGCTGACAGCTCTCGAATGGCTTAAGCTCGAGAGCAACAACATCTCTGGCGGCATTCTTTCCGAGCTTGGATTGCTGACTGGCCTTCTTGATCTCAGACTCGGAAGCAACCAATTCCTGGGTGGCATTCCTACAGAGCTGGGGCAGCTATTGTCACTACAAGAGCTTGACTTGGCTGATTTGATGATGCTGACTGGATTTGTTCCATCAGAGTTTGTTCTCATGGCAAGCCTGGGATGGCTGAATATTTCTGGCAGCGTTGGGCTGTCCGGCACAATGCCAGATGAACTATGCTTCTTTCAGAATGCCTCTTGTACCTACATTTGGGGCACCAAGCCTTGTTTTCTTGGTTTTGATTGCACTGACCAGCTTTGTGGATGTGATTGCTTGTGCTCCAATGAGACGTCCAATGAGTAGAAAAAGTGGATAAACACATGCTTTGGACTAAGAACTATGAGTTTGACTGCATGCTCGTATCTAGCTAGAATTTAAGTTACACCCGTTGGAGTGTGTTACCTCGTTACAGGAGATCATAGTCCACGTCTTGCGACCCCGCCGACAGGGGAGATGGTGCGTAGAGGACCCGTCGAGTCACCCAGTTTCTTCGATAGATAAAGGTGGACTCTGGATTAATTGGCGGCAATGAAATCGTGGATGTCCTGGTTACACTGTTCGTAGGTACGGCCTCCCGGTTGGACCGTTTCGTACTAGTAGCAAAACTGCCCAAGATTGGCGCCCCTCTGAACCGTCCCAAACACTCTGACGGAGGACTCGTCGCTGTCGTCGTTGTTGCAATAGCGCGCCTGTCCACATTTAAAATTCGAAAGCCCGTGTTTTGCAATGTGTGACAGCCGCCACAGCAAACGACAGAGTAATCACCAGCATAGTCGGACAAGCGGCACCAATTGTCAGAGTTGGGGCCTCCGAAAAAGTTCAAGATTGGTCGAATGTCAATGGGAAAATCGGGAGGCTGCGTAGTGATAGGAACGGCAGCGATGGGTGGATTGGATTGCAGATTGCGTGGCACGACGACCCTTGTGGCGGAAAAGGAATCCACCGAACGTCCGCTTTTGGTTCGACTTTGGAGGGCGGCTGCCGCCATGGCACCTAGCGTTGGGCGGAGCATCTTGGGCGGAACGACAAACAACCTTGACGGCCGTTCCTCGTGATTAGTAGACCGTTGTCCGTTGGATGTTCATTGTAGCCACCATCTTCTCTTCCAAGCACGTGGTGGTGTGTTGCTTCAACGTCGAAAGGGATTGACGGCGACAGGCTCTGACTCAATTGGGTCATGGTAGCTTAACTTGGCGGAATGGGTATCGTATAATCGTTTTGTTTCGATTTGATCCTACTTGTCTGTTTGTTGTGAGCCTTCACTGCAGTTGATGTCTTTGGCACCGCCTCGGTTTTCTGTCTTCCCGTGCAGCGTTCAATCTGGGGACCTCGAGTTGAGTTCGAGTTGAGTCGAGTCACACCGTAGATGGCCCTGAGGACGAAATGCCAAGCATCGAAGCGCACCAGCAAGCTCCAGGTACCGGTATGGTCTTACCCAATGCATGCTCGAACAAACAGTCTCAAGAGGGGTCTCTTCACTTCAAATGCACTAGATCCGCTGGTACCATGCAAAAAGTGCAAAAAGTGCTCAACTCGCTTTCTGCCGTGCCACACCGCAGCCTCCGTCACGATCTCAATACGAGACATTGCTCGCTGGTCAACGAAGCGCATTTTTTGGGGATCGGTCTGATTCCAAGGGGGGGGTTGGCAAATGCTAATAGCAGGAC